TGATAGTACACTTTCTTGTCTTTATGGCCGAACGGTCGACTGCTTTCTTGAGGTTTCGTAGTTGAGTAGTGTAGCAGGTCTCCAGTTATTGTTTTGCCCTCGGGCAGAAGTTCCCAGTAGATGGGGCCGTCCACTCCCCACCACACAGAGATCATAACTTTTTTCGGATGAAGGTCGGGTTTGGGGACATCCTGTGGGCTCTCTCCTTCTCCAACCCACTGGGATTTCCTGTGGTGATTATCGTAGAAGACCCACTTCTCATCTCCGGTTATTAGCCGGTCCAGCCATCGATCGCCCGCGTGGAGAGTGAGAAGAGTAATCGAATCGTCGACTCGGCGGTCAAGGTTGGCTTGAGTCAGGTGATGAGGTATGAATCGACCAAAAAGTTTTCTCATTCCAAGAGACTTCAAACCTTCAAGGACTGTGCTATGGTGAACTCCGAATGTGACAGCTAGTTCACGGCTAGATTGAAATGGATCCGATTGCAATGCGTGCTTCAGCTTGTCCAAATCCAACTCACGGGGTCTCCCAGAGCGATCCTTTTCATCGAGCGAGAAGTCATCTTTTTCGAAACGATGGAACCAATTGCGAATAGTATTGTAGTGAGGGGCATGTGTGTTGTACACATTCTTCAAGAAAGTTTCCGAATCCTTCATCGTGGTGTGAGATAGGAAGAGGTAAATCAAAACATGTCTGATGTGAATAGCAGTGGGAACAAACATATCGTTTCAATTACAGATGAGGAGCAGGGAAGGAGATGGGGACTTGTTTATATGGAAGGTTCTTATCACCTTGTTATTCACTAGAGTCGATATCATACACAGCCTCCATATACGAGAACAGTGATTAAACAAACAGAGTGACAAAGACTTTCCCGCCAACCTAATAAATTATACTTAAAACCTAATTAATCACTAATTGATTCATCGGTAATTCAAAAAATGGAGTGTCTTCTTTCGCAACTCGTGTGAGAGTAATCAATTTAGGTGTTCCTACTCCTTTTTTTCGCGTATCCAAAACAATGTGAATATAATAATTGGTGTTTTCAATTCGAAAGTACCAAATGCTTTTCACATTTGAAAAGTTACGGTAGGGTTCTCCAATCAGCGTATGTAAAGATTCGTCGATTGTCGACTCCTGGAACGATATTTTCAACTTTTGAAACTTCGAAGAATGGAGAAGATTCTGAAAAAGAAAAATAGAAATTTTGAATTGAAAAAGAACTTACTGTTTTCAGATAAAATACATCTTCAGAGGAAAGTGTCTTCACTAGGATATTCAAATAAACAAAATTCAAAATATTCATTTCTGTGATTGTCGTTGTAATAATCAAGTGCTTGGAAATCAAACGTTCCGCATTCTTCCACTGAACTATTTTTGATAATTGATCAATTTGAAACGGCCATTCAATAACATTGTAATAAAAATTCTTAATTGCATCGTGTTGTTCTGACGGATACAATAATTCAATCGTTTTCAGGGAATGTGGGTCAATAGCCGAAAGAATTTCAATAATTTCCATCTGACTGCTAGATCCCATTGAGAATTTTTTCGCTTTGAGTGGCGTCTCTCTTCGTTTAAAAGTGTCTCCAATTTTTCTGGATAAATCCGCAGTACCCCATTCATCGAGAAGAATATCGAAGTTTTCGGATAAATGTCTTGTACACTTGTAGAATATAATTAATTCCTTTATGCACTCAATTTGCTTGCTGAGAGTCTTTTCGATATCATTAAGACATATGGATTTGTCGTCAGTTCCAGAAAAGGAGATAATACGTTCTTCTCCATGGAATGAGTTTTCACCATACAAATACACTTGATTTCCATTCTTAAAATATTCGAAAGCTTTGAATTCCCCATTTTCCAACTTATTATAGATGCGAAGACGACAATTATCTATGATAGCTCTCTGATAGAAACAGATGGAATACGTTTCTATATGGGGATTTGGTTTTATGAGATCAACACACTTTCGGATTCCACGATTGACTTTTCGAAGACTCTCGCTGCAAAACAATCTATGAATTATTGTGAAAAACAAGAAAAAACTTACATGTCAAAGCATTGCAAGTGTCTCAAAATAAGTCCCATCGATAACCGATTTTCTAACACATATCGTGCTACGATCTCACTCGGATTTTTGCCTTTTTTGAGATTTATTGATTGGAATGTTGGATCAGCAACTTCCTGAAAGAAGATGGATTGGATTAGTTTCAGCATAGAAACTCACAAAAGTGATACTTTGACCGTCGTCCTCAATTTTCACTTCACTCAACCCATTCCAAGAACTATCGAAGTTTTCTGGATCCACAACATGGATCAACCGTACTGTAAACGGCGCGCTTTGATCAAAATACGTTACGAGCGATATTGCTTGAGCAACACTAGTTCCAATGAAGTGAACTCCTTTGACTCTTAATGTTCTCGATTTTAAAATCATTTCGAGCCGTTCACAAATCTTGGCGCAATCTTCGACAGTTCCTCGCGAGCACCTTACATGAAAATATGACAGATATGGTGTTTGGTGCTTCAACAGCATCTCCAAATCTTCTAAGAAAACATCTACAAAGTTGAGTTGGATTGGCAGTGATTCCTCGTTTTCGAATACAAAAGTTGTGAAAGCACTTTCAAGTTTAATATAAGTGATAGTGTGAAAATATACTTCAAGAGGGGAGTTCAGTTTCAAAATCACTTTTGATAAAATCGGCATGAGTTACAAACTCGATTCCCATTTTGCTACTTTTCTGTTGATCCGTTAAATATTCGTACGCGTAGGGCATCTGAAAACGTACAGTTGAAATGAAATATTTAGAAGGGAAAAAATTTACAACTCGCACTTAATCAAACAAAAGAATGAACTGCTGCTCCTTATCAGTCAAATAAAATATTGTGCATTTAATTAGAAGAGAAAATCAGAGAATACATAAATTCATCATTTCGAATGATAACAGAAATCGATGTAGCGGGAGATGCAAAAAAAGTTTTTGAACAATATGAAAATGGTAGAAGAACATTATTCAGATTCCATTTCTACATATTTTGTGGGTGGTTGTTGGTGAACTTTTTTTAGTCGTAGAAACGAACAAATCGCTGAAAACATCTACAATTTTATACAGAAAACAGATTAAATCATTATTAAAATATACTAGAATGTCTGTCGCCTTTTTGGCATTGCTCCTCTTTATTTTTCATATAATTTTCTTTTTGAAAAGGTCATGTTACTTTAAAGGTGGTGTGCGGTGAAAAATTTTTATTGATTTATTTTGTGCAGAATTCCATGTAGAGCCTTATAAAAATAACGAAAAAAATTCAAAAAAAATTCCTTCATTGAGAAAAACGGCATCGAAAAGTCAAAGTGGGAACCGGTGGCCTAGCGGCCAGGTGTGAGTTTTCTAGGCCAACTTCTGGTAAAAGCGCGCGAAATTCGAATTTT